AACTTACAGTCTGATTCTAAGACTGAAAAAGGGCAAGGAAGCTTCAAAAGTACAGAGTGCTCCCTCTCATATCATCGTATGACATAGAAGGCTTGAGCTTCTTCTAGGACACAGTGTGTCCATTTGGATGTTTTTTCAAGCAGCCATCAACATGCTTTTCCAAAAAGTGGTAACCAATTCCACAGTCTGACTCTGACAGTTTCTCAGACTTAAAATTACTTGCAGAGCATACAGTTGTTGAATGACTGCCTCTCCCTAAATTTGCAAGCTTCTAAAGGGTGGCAGATGCAGGTGCTAATAGCAGCAATATTACAAAAATAACATTTTAGAAATCCCTACACTGAATGAGCAGAAACTACAGAACAAGAAGACTAATGACAAACGATTTAAAAGACTGAAGCAAAGAATCAGCTGACACTTAAGACATGTTTGGATTGGCCTTAAGTTACTGAAAAGAAAAAAAAAAATCAAAATTCGTAGCATGATGCTGATATATGGTACTCCTCACAGTCCAAATTAAGGAGAGTTTTGCTAGAGACTTTGGCAAGCACAAGTTTGACAAACTCTTTCAGTGCTGCACTCAGCAGTCAAAGCAACTTCTGTGCTTATTAAACACCAGCATCTGCAGGCAATAATGGATAGTAATTCACAGTCAGTTTTAACAGTTTAGTGTAGGAGCTACAGAGACACAATATAAAAGGCTACAAATGCTTCCATGAAGCTTTAAACCAGTGCAGAATTAGATGAAGTGCACACCAGAGAGGGACTGTCACTTCATGGTTTTACCTTTCCTTTGCCTCATTACAGACCACATGTAAAAGCTGGAGGGTGCTCACAGGGAATGGAGCTGACAGGGCTACAGTTTAACAGGGTGATGTTTCAACAGTACATTTCCAAGTTAGCAACCTCTATAATCCAAGGACTGCCAAAAGGCAAGGGGAGCCAGGGAGTGAGGGGTGAAGGCAAGGGGAAATTAAAAGCCAGTCTACCTTCAGAAACAGAAACATGCTTTCTGAGGTTATGTGGAAATCTCTGTAGGCAGCGATCAGTTCAAGAGTTTTCCAAAAGTTTTCCAAGTCATTCAAAGCTGACTCAATCATGCTATGCATACTTAATTCTGCTTCAAACCTTGTCTTGCCCTCCCTTCAAATCGGGGGGGGACCAGCAGTAAATGCTGCTCTGAACAAAACCTTTGATCCAACCTTCCTCCTCTCATTCCACTGTTGTCTCCTTCCCAGCTCGAACTCTCATTTCAGCTTAGAAATGAATGCTCACTTGCAGGCTGAATGCAATCCTTATGGGCTGTATCTCAAACTCTAAAGGTGTTTTCACTTTAGCTGCTTTTCTTTAATCTATGCTTGCTGATTAATCAGAAATTGCTTGTGAACCCTTTTCAAGGAGGACCTGGCACTCTACTTAAAAATCCCTGGATTAAGTCCAAGTAGTTTAGCTGTTTTTTAGGCTTCCCTGTTCAGTGCAGGGCATCAGACAGGTATTTTCAGAACTTGTTTCTCCACTTTGCTGGGTTTTGCAGTGTATAACTTCAGTAAAGATTCACTAGAAACAACAGGCTCTGGTTTTGCAGCAGTTCTTTTCAAAGTACTTAGAAAACTGGGGCTATAAAAACAGATCCCTTACACTCCATTCAAAACAGATTTCTGCAAATACTCCTGTAAGCACCAGGACACTCATTGTTCCAGAGGGACACAGATTTGCTACCACAAACTATTCAAAATACCTGTGTTCTGAAACTGGATGCTTGGACTGGCTACCCCGCAGTGTGCACCCGTGCCTTCTCCTTTGGAGTCACAGAAAGATGACAGGATCTAGTTTTTGAGGCTCTTGTTTTCTAAGGGAGAAGAAAAAAAGATAAAAATAAAAAAGACGCAACATACTTGAGTAGCAAGGGTGGGCATGCCCAGCCCAGTTCAAATCTCAGGCAAAAATTTGAGCCCCCAACTGCACATACTCACAGATAGCAGATGTGAACATCTCTGGAACTTAGCCCCAGCCAGGGGAAGCTGCTGCAGCTTTCCAGACTGACTCTGAAAAGCTCCAAAAATAATGGTACTACTATTCTGAAGTGAGGTGACTTCCTTCAACATCTGTGGTGAATATGTGATACGGGCTGCTATAAGCATCACACGTATTTAAAACTAACAGGAGATGTCAAAGCTTGGTCCAGCCACATTGTGGTCATTAGGAGGAGGGAGCTACACAAATGTTTCATGAGATACATATGCTGCTCTAGGGGTACTAACAGTTAGCCTATTCTGAGAAATCTCCCATCCTGTCCAGATTTCTGAAAAATAAGAAAAAAACCTACCAAACCCTTCCAAAGTATAAAGAATAAAGCGGGCACAAAATATTTTCAGTGTAGTTCTCAATGATGAGACATTTACCTTCTGTTTAGTTGACAGCTTTTAAATGAACCTCTACCCTTGCCTACTGCACAAAGAAAAAAAAAAAATCAATAAAGTATCTGACAACATTTATTACATTACTTCTAATGGCTCATTAAAATAATGACACTTCCTTATTATGGAATAAGTTAGTACCACTGTCAAACCAGTGCTCTCTACAGACAGAATGTGTTCTCAGATTTTTTTTTTTAATAAAAATTAAGACTAGCAGTAATTTCAAGCAAAAAGACCTAGTTTTCTGAATCAACCAGAGGCATTATTATTGTTTTTTATTAACACATACAAAATTATTAGGGTATACAAATGTGTTTCTTTTTTTTTGACACAGTGAAAACTAAATAAATGGGCATTACAACATTTGTTTACATCACATTTTGTTTCAAAAAAAAAGTTAATGATTAAACAAAGAGGTTTATATATATATATTTATATATAAAAAAAAAAAGCTTGAAATAGCTGGATAAGAAATAATTGATTTATACTATCAAAAGGCTGGGAGCAATTGTGTCTCCTGTGATTGTGCCCTTAGCTTTCAAACTATGACCCCCACTGATAGGAGTTTCTATTAAAAATCCAAAGAAAACAACAATAAAAACCTCAACAAAACAAACACTACCCTGCTCCTCCCAAAAAACCAAAACACCAATTCCCCCCAGAACACAAAACCTCAAAGCAATGGCACAACTTTCTGCACGCTAATATTTTTTCCTGACGGCTTCAAGCACAAATGGATTATTTTAAATATCACATAAACCTACAGTAAATTAAAAAAATAGAAGATTACTTTACACAATGCATGGAAACCATTTTGAGTGAGCACAAACATTTACAACTGCATCATGTTTTTTTCTTGCATAACCCATACTCACACACAAACCAGTTTTCAAAAGAATTGGTGAAATATTCAGTCCACATTTGTTTCTTTTATACAATATGAAATGGTTACAATACCATAGTATTTTTTAGAATAAGTTAAACATCAAGACATATGGCAATAGCATTGTACTATCCTTTCTACATACATATGAAATCCTGAATTTCAGTCTATTTTTATTAAGTCACAAAAATGAATAAAGACTAAGATCCAGTTATACTGGAAAACTAGACTAGTTCTAGAAACCACAAATACTGTAAGCACTTTGGTATAATATGTACAGATTGTGCTGTCAATGTCATGCTTGCATACTAGAACTGATCAACAGATTTCCACTGGTGGAATAAAGTAAAAAAGGTACTGTAAGTCTTGCTTTCTTATTTCTTTTCCTCTTTGCAAATGATTGAAAGAGGACACACCACAAGTACACACACAGCATTTGTATGATGTGACTACAAATTAAATATTAAAGGGTTTTTAAATACAATGCAAGGCCAGTCTTCTTAAGTGCATAGAATGTAATGCAGAATACTGTTAATTACAGGGGCAACTACAAAGATATGAAACATTTTAACAGATACTGAACAACGTTCTTATAAAAAAAAAGAGGTGTGAATGAGAATAAGCGTTCTTCTATTGTTACAAAGATCAACACATTTTATCCCCCACTGGTAAGAGAAACTAACTGCTGCCTCAGAAAAGATGTATCTATCTACTGCGTCCATTTTATCTCTTTCTTTCAGAGGCTTAAAATTGCACCATCAAACTCCTAAGCAGTTTGGATATTTGGTTGGGGATTTTTTTTTTTCTCTTCCCCCCCACCCCCTGCCCCATTTTTAACAAAACTTTTATCTTCCTGAAAGTAGAACTCAAAAAGTGCATTTTACATTAAAGGGCTTACTTTCCCCCCTATTTTATGGATGCATTTGCTGTAGTTTAGAACTTTTAGCTTAACCTATTCATTCTTTCTACCAATTTATTAGAATGTCTCAGATTTACTCAGGCTATTCTGCAAACAAGTTAAGTAGCCCCTTTTCATGCAAAGAAAATGGTACTGAATTTTAAGAAATCCAAAATACTGTAATCTTTACCGAAGTGAAATGCAAACTCACAGAGTAAGGACTGCAAGATTTTCAGAAGATTTGGACTGTATGCAGTGTTCCCAAATTTTTATTCTCTCCTTTGGATTTTGGGATACGGTTAAGTACATATATTCTGTTCTACTAAGACTGCAAGTCAGCTTCAGATTAAGGTCTCAGGAACAAAATGGTAACCTCAAAATTCTCAACCCAACCAGAGGAAACTCACCCCAATCATTACTCATTTCTTACACAACACAAGAACCCATTTAACATGTAAACACAAGCAATGACAGTCCTCATTTGAAGCTCCTATTGTGGCAAGTAATACTTCACAGGTATCAGAAACACTTCAGTTAATGTCTCCATATTTCCCCCATTTCTAAGATGTTTTCTTTTCCTTACAGAAGTTGTAGCTGTTCAACATCAAACCAAACAATTGCACAAAAACTACAGCACCAAGCTTTGCTAACTGAAACTGCTGGAGAGCACACACAGGAGAAAATTTGACTGTGGCTGTTGAGTGAGCTAGAAGTCAAATGAGCTTAAATGAAACTAATGTTAACACATTCCTTAATTGAAATGATTAATTCTTAGCAGAAATAAATTAAGATCAGTCTGATCTTACTGTAAGCTAGTTGGTGACCCAGCCAGACTTTTGTGCAGATTGGGGTTTTGACTGTGCCTGTTCCGACTGCGAACAGATGAAAACATTGTGTTGCAACCTGGGACTTTGCATTTGTGGAGCTGGCGGAGATGCACAGTTTTGTAATGAGCCCTAAAAGTTCCTTTATTACTGTATGTTTTTTGACATATATGACAAGTTATTGGCAAACTGGAAGGTAAATTTATAAAGTTTTGATTAGCTTTCTCAATTAAAGTACAGTCTTGGTAGAGTTCATCATTGGGCATTAGGCTGGGTCCTTCACAGCTTTCATCACTATCATCCAAGGGCATTGTGCATATTTCACTTCCTCCATCAGAATCCCAAGAAGAATGAGCACTGCTCTCAGACTTAACGCTGGAAGTTGTGCTTAGATCCAGAACAGCTCCATCATTTAATGGATCGTATCCGTAGCTCTCAGAACAGGGTTCTGCAATTTTGCTCATTGGAAAAACGTAGCTGCCTGTTCTGTTCATTCCTTTGAAGATTACAGAAGTATGTCCAACATGTTGTTTTAAAGAGACATCTTGGCAAAACTCCTTAGCCATGTCTTTCAAGAGGTATGTTGCATTGAAATGGTTGTTGAATTCCAGTGTATCTTTAGTCAGAAGCTTATGATGAAGATTTAGGTTTGAACTATGTCTAGAAGAACAAAGACAAGCTTAGCAAGAAAGTGTTTCACCTCACTTAACAGCTGTTTCATAATGATCATAAACAAAAAAAGGAAAATCAGTATTTAGTAGCATGCATGAATTGTATACTTCAGATTTGACCAATTGCCACACTGGGAGTGCAAGTGGACAATTTACATGTATGACAGGGTTTCTGAACTTGGTTGCACTGGCATATATCAGATTGTAAGCAATAACTCTACAGCAATCAATGTTTCAGATTCTCTCCTGCATTGGGGATAGCTGTCTTCTCTGCTAGATCTAGTGCTAAACCTAAAAGAGGTGGAGGACAGACTAAAAACCTGTAAACTGAACTGAGATGGGTAAAAAACAAGTTTCTTTCCCAATGGACAAAGAACAAAAGGACTGACACCTGAGTCTGCAAAAAATGTTGATGATCTCAAGTACTGCAACCATGTACAGAACGAAGCTGTACACATCAGTACAGAGCCGTTTTTTTTGTCAGGAGCTTCCTTGAAATATGAAAATTGAATTATACACAGCTTGCAGTTTTCAAATGGGCATCTCTATGTTCAGTTTAAAACCATCAAAACCTACAGAATCACTGCTCCTCACTGAATATTATCAATCAGCTCACTGGTAACTTACAGGCTCTGTCTAGAAGACAGAGTTTATTGTAATATTGGCAAAACATTTGTCTTTCTCCTTGCCATCATGGTTTAATTAGAAACATGGATTGTTCAAAAAGGCATAGAAATATTTAGTGCTTGTAGTCACACTACTCTATGTTAATATCTAGAAACTTCTGCAAAGTTGTTCCAAATAACTATTGTTTTGTACAAAGCATGTGAAATGTCTTCTGAGCTCACCTTTTTTTTTTAACCCCTCTTCCAAAAGCACCTATGTTAAAACTTATCTCAGCATATTGGTGTGGGAAGGAATTTCTGGCATGTGAATACAAATCTTACTGCTGGCCTTCTTTCCTGTGGCCCGTATCGCAATTACAGTGGAGAGGAATTCACATCTGGGAAGATGCAGGCAGCAGGGTATGAAGCCCTGCCAACAGCAGATGAATCTGTGCATCTCAGATGCAGTGGCCAGTCCTCAGAGACCAGCTCATCCTCTCTCTGGATTGCATCAGCTGGCTCCAGCACTCCTAGCAGATTACAGACAATCTAAACCTCGTGTCACTCTGAACTACTATCCAGGCATGCTTCCTGCAGCCAAAAGCTGCTCTAACACCGCTACAGACTTGGAAAACTTGTAACACTTCGTTGCACTTGAATAGGTTTGTTACTGCTTCAGATACATTACTGATAGTCAACAATAAAGCTTCAGCTCTCCTTTCTAAATTGATGAGCTTAATAGGCTGAAATAAAATGAATTACAGCAATACAGTACTGAAATGAACATTAAACTGAACCAAGCTTATGCTTTAGTTTAGAAATCAGTATTTAATCTCACAGAAAAGCACTACTGATGTGGATACACACCAGATAGTGTTTGACTACCACTGCATAATGTCAATTTTGGGCTGACAAAGACTAATCTTGCTTTTCTTATGGGCTTTTTCACACCGGTCTGTTTGAAATCCTTGAGTAAATAATGGACAAGGGTAAGTGAAGATTTCCTGAATTGATCTCATTGCTTTTTCATTTAAAAACACTGTATACATCAAAATACACATGAAACTACATATTAAACGTGTAAGTCCACACATACATCTACTGGAAAATTGCTGAATTCATACCCTTATGGGTTTCCCTTTATGTACTCATGTATTCTTTCAACTACTGCAGTCTTTATCAGTTAGGAAATTTTCATGACTTTATTTAGTACCTTGTAGTCTATTGGAAAGGAAATGTTTCTTTCAATGGATTTCCATTTCAAGAATGTTCTGATAAGTTATCATACCTGTTATATGAGGATACACAGAAAATATTTGTAGGCTCCATTCCTCAAACACTCATTTTAATTTCAAATTAGGCTCCATTGTGATGGCAAAATAAATACAATTTTGTTTATAATTGTCTTACCTGTCTCGACTTCTACGAGAAGGGAAAGCAGCATTACAGCCCTCAACTGTGCAAATATGCATTTCTTTGAGATGTACGTTTTTGAAATGCATTTTTACACTGTAAGGGTTTTTAAAAGTCTTCTTACAGATGTCGCAATGAAAGCGGCTTTCTTCCTTCTGAATCCCTAGTGCATGTTGACTGACATGATCCATATCTTTAGAGTCTTCAAAACAAGGAATGGCAGCACCCCTGTTTGACAAAGTGCTGAAAAAGCCCCCGGTCAGCAAGTGGTGTTGCAATTCAGGGCAGTCATTTTTAGGAATCCTGTGCTTTGACTGCTCTTTAATATACATGGGGGGTTCAGTCATTGGTTTTATAACATCACTGTGGTGGTGTTTTGGATCTTCATATATAATCTCATGGGAAACTATTTTTAATGGTTGGTTTTCTTCTGGTTTAACCTCTTTCTCACAGTGTTGCAATTCATTCTCAGAGATATCCTCGATGTATTTGTTATTTGGCGCAAAGACAGATTCAAAATACTTTGGGCCCTCTACCCCAGAGAGAGATTTCCATGAATTACCTGAATGGGGGTGCTTTTCCACCCTGTCGGTCACCCGCTTCTCTATCTTATGCTCACAGGTCTCAAGCTCTCCATCGCTTACCCCCTGCAGACGTGATTCATCCTCAGAACTGGCAACATCACTACTTTCATTGGGTGTTTCAACAGCTTCTTTCTCTATCTTAATGGGCATACTCGACTTACGAGATTTCTTCTTGGGGAGCATGTCAAATGGCAATTCATTGGAAACAAGCTGCTCTGGTATGGAGGAAGAAACAAGAGGCAGAGAAGGAAGAGTACCTGGAGTATTGGCAAGCTCAGCTGGTGTGACTGGACTACGGTAAAAAGGAAGAACAGGCTGTACCGTCTTCAGGTTTGGAAAGAGGACACCGTTATGTCCAATACTGGAAAATCCAGCCTGGCCTTTTGAATCTGTACAAGAGCTGGCATAGCTGGAAATAGTTCTGCTGTCTGGAGTTAAAATTGTGAATTCTGTCCTTTTACTATCTCCAGGTCCAGCAATGGTCAAACCATTTCTTAGATCTTTATCCCTGTTATTTCTGTTCATTGGCATATGGAGTCTGGGGTTAGGATTTGCACTGTGACGGTTTCGACTACGCAATGAGCTGAACACCATATTGCAGCCCTCAATGGTGCATTTGTGCTTTATCTTCAGATGAACAGCATTGTAATGTATTTTCAAAGTACCTTTGTCATAAAATGTTTTTTCACATGCAGTGCAGAAGACACGCCCTTTCCTTGGCCCAGCACTTTTTTCAACAGATTTCATTTTGTTTTCTGGAGATAGTGCTGTCATTTCAAGCTTGGCTGCTACATTATGTGAACTGGAATCACTCAAAAGGGCATCATCTTCTGTTTTAGTGACATCTGGACCATTTATGCTCCTCTCATTTTCAACTTGAAATGGTGCAGAACTAGAAGTTAAAAAACTGCTTTCAGAAAATGGTATCTGAAGATCTTGTTTGGTTTCGTTGCTATGGTCTTGACCTTGCTCAATCAAATGTCTTTCTGGTGGTGAACCTATCAAAGGTGGAGGCACCGGACTGAAAAACTGAAATGGCAGCATGAAAGCCATGTTATTTACAATATTCTCAAAGGGATGAATGTTGGTGGGACTCATTTTGTCCAAGGAAGCAGAAAAATTAGGACTGTGTGGGTTGCAGCTCTCAATGAATGCCCTAATATCCAAATTGGCAGTTGGTGGTGGTATTATGATCGACTGCCCTTCTTTCTCTTGAATTGCCATTAACTCTACAATGGACTTAGTTTCTCCAAAGCGAAGAAACTGCTGCAAAGTAGCCAATTCTTCTTCAGTGGTCATTATGCTCCAGTGATCCAGCACCTTTCCTGAAGCATCCTAAAGCCAAAAATATTTAAATGAGTTAGACATTAGTTAAGGCAAACAAAAACCACCTCCCTTCAAATCTCTCATTTTTTCCAGGGACTAAAACTTCTTCTCTAGCCAAAAATTGAAAACATTCCATTTAATGAGATTAATGCAAATTCTGTGATAATTTCTTCCAAATTGTACCACATTGGTGATATTATTTCTTCCTGAACTGACAGTAATACTTTCCAATAAAATATTTTTTTCCACAAAAATTAAGACATGTTATTTGAACAACAGATAGTATCCTGTAAGCACAGACAGCAGAGATGGAGCAATCAGACCAAGATTTAGGTCCTCATTTAAGTCAAGCATTCTTTCATTGCAAGTTTAATAATCTTCCAAGCAACTAAGATCAGAGAACAAATGAACCTATATTGATCTATTGCCAGTTTTCACAGAGCACAGCTGTAATTACACCAGTGTTGGAGTTCTTTCAAACTCTAGCTATGCCTAACTTTTCCCAATAACTACAATAAATATTTTATCACAGAACATGTATTTGATGGCCTACTGAGATTTTTCACAGTGCATGTAAGAGTTTCTAAGATGATGCAGAACGTAACATTATAAATTTTTCATGTGATAGAGGTTCAAGGTAATTGATTCCATATTTTTAATCCTAACACTAAAAAGCAAGATTATCAAGACCATTAAATATTGATTCATGTCATAATGTAAGATCATAATATTACTTTACATAAAAGGTAACTTCCACAGCAGCAAGGACTAACATCAGTGTAAGCACATAGGGCCAAATACACTCTGGCTGCAGCTCCAGTAAGGTTGGTAGCACTACCAGAGACGAATACTGTCCCTGGTGTTTTAAATAATGGTAAGTTTATTTCTTAATGTTTTATTCTGCTGGATAAAAGCAAACTCTCTGTTTAAATAATACTGGAACAAATTCTAAAGCCTTTACTTTGATACATTACCAGTAACTTTTTTATTTTTGCTTACCTTTGTTGTTATATTTGAGCAAGTAGAAAGATTTCAATTAAGTCCAACTTAAAAAGAGAGCTATCACCAGAAATACACTTTTTTCTTTTCTGGCATTAAGCTCGTACAGTCTATTACTGCCTTTCAGATGCACCACTCTTAACACATTGTGAACCATCGAGAAGATTAAGCTAGAAAACCACTTGACTGTCCTATTTCTATTTTAAAAGCCACTTTAAATACCTGTAGCACATATCCACGTATATAATCCTGCAGTGTCCAATCCAGAGCATGGAGAATCTGTATCACCTCTTCCTGCTTCAGAACACTGAAAAGCCGATCGAGCAGAATTTTAAGGCGCACAGGAATGGCTTGGGTTCCATACAACATGAGGCTACTGATATCAAAGACAACATTGGATTGAACTATTTCTACTTGGCTTGATGGGTAGAGGTTTGGAATCCTTAGTTTGCTCAGGGCTGAAAATAAAAATCACAAAATGTAAATAAACTTGAGTCCCGAGAAAGAGAAAATGGAGTGCAATTAATACTGGGGTGGGGGCTGAGGAGTGACACAAGAAGTATATAATAATTATGAGGATCCTAAATGGTTTTCTATAGATTGTAAAAACAAATATTACCATGTGCTACCCATCCATGCCGGCATTGGTCACATTGTCGCTGATTTATTTTCCCAGGTTTGAAACAGTGACAACTACAGTTCACGAGAGTGCACCGGATAGCCTGGAGATCAATGGAAAGCATGATAGGTAATATATAAGCACCGTTCAGAGTGTGCACATTATACATCTACAGTACCCCCATAAAATCCACATGAAGACAGAGTTAACATACCAGCACAGACCTATCAACGTGCAATATAAGTAATCCAGGCAAAGCCTGAGTTATACAAGGCTACCTCTGCCTGAAAAAGTCAAGTCACCAGCAGAAACACCAGTGATATGGAAGCAGAATATTTAACAATATACATAGCAACACTTCTGTGGATTTATTTAGGCTGAAGTACCTTCATAATAATTATTGTTATAAATTATGAATTCATCTAAGCTATGATCCTCATATAGGATCACTTTCTCAGGGAGCTTTAAAAACAGATGTACAGATGAAAATACCCCCTCTCTCGGTTTTCCTGGAACTCCACTGCAATATAGCAAGTTCTAACGAGCAATTCAACTCTGCACAGATGTCATACCCTACACACCCAGAATTCACATGGAATATCTGTATTCTGTCAAAGACACAGGAGTTCACTAATGCTCCTCAGTAACAAAGTTCACCAAAGAGTACCCCAACTCTTCAAAGACTAAACAGACACACGTTGTAAGGGAAATACTTGAAAGAAAAATAGAGCACACAGAGAGCAACCAGTTGCACAGTTCAATTTGTACATCACTTTACTCTCACCAAGGTCATCTATAATGCAAACCAAATTAGTATTCAGATGTCCCTAATCAATGGGGTGATACAAACTCGCTTCCTAGAATTTCTTCTGTATGTGCCCATCTGCTGGAGAAGGCAAACAGAAAACTTGGAGGTCCTAGTTAAAGCTCAAGAGGGATTTGCTACAGAGCAAAGCTTTTGCAGGATTCTGCACTGCTTGGATCTGGCACTGAGTATAGTTCCTGCATAAACAGAATATTTATTGAGGGAGGGAAAGCAAAGAAACTGATGTGCAGAAAGTCTTCAGTGAAATAATAAAGAAAAACAGATCATGCAATTGTAAAATGTCTGCATTTTTCTGCTTTTAAATTAATGTTCCCTCTCCTAAGGTTTTATGCAAAATGGGGACTTCCACTCTGCAAAATACCCATAGGAAATTAAGGTAAGATTTGAAGTAAAAAGGAAACATGGCATTCCCACACTGGTACTTCAGAAAACATACAAGGAAGCCAGATTGTGCAAAAACTTGCTAAGAAAGATGGATGCAAGAAACACTTAAACTCAAAAGTACATGGCATAAAGTTAATTTCACTGAGATTTGCAATGGGCATTTCTTTAGACTTGAAGAATCTGTCTGACTCGGGGCAGAAGAGGACACTGCATACAAAAGGTTACTATAAACAAGCATGTTCTGACATTTGGATGTCTAGTGCTTCACAGTAATGGATTTGGAGTGAGATTTTAAAATTTCAGTATCTGGCTTATCCAGGAGTTACCTTACATGCACATCTCCAAACTGCAGTGACTTGATGCTGAGATTTGCCTGCATTTGAAGAATTGGAACAAGTGGCAACAGGGCTCTTGAAATCTCTGAATCACTTTGCCTCTAATCTTTTAAAGGATCCATTGCAAAATCCTGTGTTCTTGAGAAAAGCTCTGTGCTCCCCATAAAGTCATAAAATACACATCAATACCCTACGCAGTGTCAATTGCTTCATTTTAATGGAGGATATATTTTCACTCAGATGCTAAATACTTCCATCTAACAATAAAACACCATAAATTTCTTATGGAAAGGTTGGGGGAAGAAAAGGTATAGTTGACTGCGGATTCATTTCTACCACAAGCTATAAAACAATAAAGCAGTTTGAGTCTTCTGCCTCTCTGCATACATAATATTCTGTGACTTGCCTGGACTGAAGCCCTTCCACAGGCAACCCTGCTAGGTTGAGTAAAGTACAGTGCATTCCATAAATGCATCTTTTACATTCCCTTCAGACAAAATTACAAAAGGGTACTTCCTTTTTCTGCAAGAAGTAACAGAAATCTGCACAATGAAAAAAGCTGTCATGATGATAAGTTAATTGAGATTCCAAAATTTTTTTAATTCCTTTTCCTTTGGACATGTTCCACAAACCACTGACCTTTAAAACTATTTTTTTCTATTTAATTTGTGTACTTGGACACCACACCAAATTTTACATTTCATAGCTTTCTGTAAGAGACTTCTTCTGTATGGTACACGTGTTTATTTTGCTTTCCTGTGTATGTGTAGAAGACTGCACATGCCAAAACAGGAACAAGTAAAAGGAGGGCATGTTGTTCTACATATATGAAAGCAGCTGTTACAAAGGGAATAGAGTTTCTCCTCTATTCTAAATATTGAACTGAACCTCTCTCAAGTCACATTATTGCTTCTGGAAACCAGGAGTTAGCTTGCATCCTGCTAACATATCAAAGGTCTGCCCTTGAATGGGGGATCCGTTGCTGACTTAAAAAATGACTTTAAAGAATGCCTAATAAGAAACAACTGTGATTTTTCAGGTTTTTAACATTTCCCTTCATTTGTGTTTGTCACAGTCTGTGTCTCCTAAAGCTTTTCTAGCAATATTTATAATAATGTTATATAATATAGTCATAGAGAATATATGAGAGAAAAATTAACTTCTGAAATAATCAGTGAATTACAATTTTAAATTGTCACTGTTCAACTCAAAAAGGTATTTGTAAAAGATGCATTTTGATTATCTCCCAAATTAACACATAGCAGACTTTACTGAAAATAAATTTAGCAAAATTTCATGAAAATAATACCCTTGTCTTTTGCCCATTAATCCTACTACCCTTAATACGCCTATTCTAAGGTAGTGTAATTATATCAAGTCTTTTAATAAGCTTTATTTTCCTAGCCAGTGGAATGCACACACAATTTCACTCTGCAGAACAAAGGAATAACTTTCTGTATTGCATAGATGCAAAGCTTGAAAATTATAATTAAAGGATTGGAAATGTAGAAGGAAATTACAGTGGAAATTTTTTAAAGTACAATCCTTTCATTCACATCATTATTTAATTTCATCTTCTAGAAACAGAAGGCAGATGGTCTAAAAAAACTAAATCTTATGCTATCACCAAGGATCTTGGTATTGCTTTCCAGCCACTCTCCCTTTCACAAATGGATCTTTCCTAATCCATTATTAGCCCAACTTTCTTAATTCCTAAAAAAATAGAGTTGAAAAGACTGATCAAAACGTTTTGTGGTTTTACCAGCATGACCGTGAGAATCTGAATGCTGAACTTTAAATAAAAATGATCCCTCATTACAAGACAGACATTAACCATTCAACTGGTCACTGAAAAACTTCAACTACTAATCACTGAATCTTACCATCTGCTGCCTGAAAGTCACGCCTGCTCACATTCTTTTTTTGCCAGATATTGATGTGGCTTCAATTATGCTTCAAAAGTTCCTGAATGTTTCTTTGCAACATGCTCACAGCCCTCACAGCTAAGGAAAAGCCCAGGCTAATAGGACATACTCATGCCGATTCTGGGTATATAATCACTTCACAAAGTAAGGTTGAAGAAGTCTCCTAGGACCTATGCTCACTTGCAACATACAACAGGTTTAAAAAAAAGCAGGAAGACAAGAAGGGCACTGTAAGTGTATCCAATCTCATTCAGTGTTAAGTGGGTTCTGGTTTGACAGCACTTTGGCTTGGGAAATAAATTAAGAAGCAAGGAAATACTGAAGACCTTGTCAGGACTGAGTTGGACATATGTGCTCATGCTGGAAAGCTGCTCTGAGTCTCTGCATGCAGAGGCTGCAAGTGCAGACACCAGTAACATGGAAGAGCAAGTCCCAGATTACCCTGGTGCTATTTAACAACAGAAACGCACAGGTCAGCACCCTCACTCCTGACACTTTCTGGCATTTAAGAAAAACCCTTGCCTTTTTTGCACAGTTTTTCCTCACTTTAAAAACTGCTGCTTTGTTTTTCAAGCTACTGCCATCACACAAAGAGCTTGAGAGCTTCTCTGCTCCGCTATGAGGATTACCAACAGGAGTTACATTGAAACAAATACATGAGACAAACGTTCATTAGATGAGCTATAGCAGATAACACTTTCATTGCCCTCTCTTGAGGGATTCCAACAACAAACTGCATCTCCTATAGCCATCTCATCATCATCAGTGGTAATCCCACTGAATATATGTAATCCACCATGGTATGTGCTCTGGTGAGCACTAATCCTATAGGAAAGAAGTGGGATATATCCCATATTTGCAGAATAGAACCACAGTGACTCCACAGTAACAACACTTGTGGAGGAAGAGGAATGATTTACAGTGGGGAAGAAATAAAATTAAACATGGGACATATGTCAGGTTATTTTTCCTGCTTGCTCCTTGTAAAATATTTGCAAGGGAAGTAAAGGGATAGATACTTTACCATCCTTAAATTAAAAGGACAGCCACAGCTAACTCAAAGGCCAAATCCAAATCTGTGTGCACCTTTCACAGGGAACAGTAACTATAAATGAGTGTGAAGTTGTCCTTCTGTTCCTTCTTTTCTTTGCTGTTCTTATTATAATCCCCTAGGTTTCTTGTGTTTCCAGAGTTTAAATAAGTTCCTTTTTCCACACTGAGTTACATTTGATTACTTTTGTGTTTTAATCCTTTGCACAACCACTAAAAGCAGAGACAAATCAAAAACCCCTTATCATAAGCATCTTTCTCAGTGCCATCCTTTCCCACATGATACAATGAGCAAAGCTTTGCTTTGTCCATTGTTTGTCAGGCAACTTCTGCCACTTTCCCTTGGGATATATTCTGCTGATAAATAACACTGTCTGTCAGTTTTGTCATGATTTAAAACAGGTTCTCAATTCCCATTTTGTTCACCTTACTTTCACTGTATCACAATCCTGCTTATTCATATCAGACTAGTATCTGGGGTTTTATCCATCCCACATGTATTTGTATCCCCCCTGTCCACTCTATAGTGTATATTTAGCCCTTGGGTCTGTTCTTCCTGAAAACAGACTTCAGTTTTTGATAC